TCAGATATACACCACCTATACATCAGGTTTACACCTTCTCTACATCAAGTAAACACCTTCGGGTCACTCCCATATATCAGGTACCAGGTATACTCCTCCCATCAGGTATATACACCTCCAGATTATCAGGTATATATACCTCCTATACATCAGGTATACACCTCCCATACATCAGGTATATTCGCCTCCTATACATCAGGTATATACGCCTCCCATACATCAGGTATTCACCACCCATACATCAGATATACCCCTCCCATACATCAGGTATAGACCTCCCATACATCAGGCATATACACCTCCAATGCATCAGGTATATATGCCTCCCATACATCAGGTATTCACCACCCATACATCAGATATACACCTCCCATACATAAGGTATATATACCTCCCATACATCATATATACACCTCCCATACATCGGGCATATACGCCTCCTATACATCAGGTATACGCCTCCCATACATCAGGTAAACACCTCCCACACATCAGATATACACCACCTATACATCAGGTATACCCCACCCATACATCAGGTATATATCCCTCCCATACATCAGATATACACCACCTATACATCAGGTATATACACCTCCCATACATCAGGTATACCTAATTTTATATAAACACCTCCAGTACATCACTCATCAGGTATATACACCTCCCATACATCAGGTATATACACCTCCCATACATCAGGCATATACGCCTCCTATACATCAGGTATATATGCCTCCCATACATCGGGTATACACCTCCCATACATCAGGTAAACACCTCCCATACATCAGATATACACCACCTATACATCAGGTATATATACCTCCCATACATCAGGTATACACCACCCATACATTAGGTATACACCTTCCATACATCAGGTAAACACCACCTATACATCAGGTATATATACCTCCCATACATCAGGTAAACACCTCCCATACCCCAGATATACACCACCTATACATCAGGTATAAACCACCCATACATCAGGTATACACCTCCCATACATCAGGTAAACACCTCCCATACACCAGATATACACCACCTATACATCAGGTATAAACCAACCATACATCAGGTATACACCACCCATACATCAGGTATATACACCCCCATACATCAGGTATACACCACCCATACATCAGGTACATACACCTCCCATACATCAGGTATACACCACCCATACATCAGGTATATACACCTCCCATACATCAGGTATATACACCTCCCATACATCAGGTAAACACCTCCCATACATCAGATATACACCACCCATACATCAGGTATATATACCTCCCATACATCAGATATACACCACCCATACATCAGGTATACACCTCCAATACATCAGGTATACACCACCCATACATCAGGTTTACACCTTTACACCAGGTAACGCCTCTTATTCATCAGGTATCACCTCCTTTACATCAGGTAACGCCTCTTATTCATCAGGTAGCACCTCCTTTACATCAGGTTTTAGGTCCCCATTATCTGTACGGAAGTTATCATTCTACCTCATCTATATGAGAGTTGTCTTATTGGTTGTTTAGATTACCTCTTAACATACAAGAAATATGAGCTTGGGGATCTCAACAATTTCCATGCTATGACCCAGGGAGGAAGTCCTCAGGGATTGGTTGAGCTCTATTATGGACTTGATATCATGAGTGTTATTTTCTCTGCATGCCCAGCAACATATGAAAGGGGTCTGAACTGATTTCATGTTAAGGCCTGGGGAATAAGCCCTCAGGAGCAGGGAAGGACCCTGGAGCCAATCCTGTAAGCATGGATGTGTTCAGGGTATGGTTGGGAATCTTGATCATTTAAAGTACATACATCTTTATACCAAAAATTCCTCTATGACTGCTTTGTCCCAGTTTTTCAGACCTGAGATATCCTACAATCTGTACAGTCATTAAGGGAAAGTATTTTTTTGGAGATGAAATTGTCTTATTTTGCTCTTTATTGGGCCCATCTTATGCCATGCCCTTCTAGGTTGTAGAAACTTGACTGATACAAAAGATGGCCACCTTATTGCCTCAGCTTTCTTACCGTACATTGTAACAATTTAAATGGTGACAGGTCCTTCGAGAAAGTAGTCTTTTACAAGTTAAAATTTGCCAATTTCCCCTTATTGGCCCAGCCCCTCAACTCTAAGGTGGCCACATCCTTTCATAATATAAAAGGCCAAAAATATATTGTGTTGTGCCTACCCAAAACTTTTTTGCCAATTTTCAAAGGAAGAATTGTTCAAGTCAAGATTACTCTCCTTTCTATGTATAGGCTAAATAAAAATAAATGAAAATTGAATTTATTACCTATTTATACCTATCCGTATTTTTTTCCAAACATGTAACAGAAAACAGACATCTTTTGTTGTATATAGCCAATAAGTGATGACTCGTTATGAGGTAAATCAAATAGTGTAAGTTTATATGCAAAATATTATCAACAAGTTTCAGCAATTTTTGGTCACACATAAAGATGAATCCACACAGCTAGAAACAATCTGAAGATAATGTGTATCAATTGTCTATAATACATGTGATATACCTTTTTACTGTGATAGTAAATATATATGTATGTACACAGTCTGAAACAATGAATAAAAGTTCCTCTGAATATACGTGAAAGTTAAGATAATTAATTGTAAATTTATAACCAGTCTGAAGCAATCAATAATTTGTTCTTACATGTCTGTGATAGTTAACACAAGTTTATGACTAGCCTGAAACAATAATTAAAAATTGATAACCCACTTGTGATAGTAATACAAGTTTTATAGCTAGTCTGAAACAAGTGATAAGTTTTCCTAACATGTCAATGATAATAAATATAATTAATTCCACATGTATAATCATGCAGTTTTAAACAATGTTATTTTTCTGTTACATGTCTGTTAAAGTTAACACAAATTTATAACCAGTCTGAAGCAATGATTAAAATTGCATAGCCTGTCTGTAATAGTAAATACAGGTGTAATTATTGACACTGAAGATGGGTCTGAAACAACGTTGGTTCATATGTACATGCAATGTTCATGATCCGTGAAATTTAGTACTTGTGTATTACCAATCTGAAACAACAAATAAATGTCCATAACCTTAAACAAATTTGTTATTTTAAATTCTTGTGAATTGCATGTGTAATAATTGTGAAAATTGATGTAATATGCCTGCGATAATATAAACAATTAATCCGCATAAATTTATTGTTAAAAAGAGTTATAAGTAATTTAACAAGCATTGTTTTAAGTGTTTGAATTCAGGAGCCCGCTATCAAAGGCTTCTGATCGTTTTTGTAGGTGTAGTAATTCAATTTAATAAATTACTGAAAATAATAAAAGAAAATCAGGGAAAACAATACAGATCTAAACATTTTAATGACTAAACAGTAAGCTATACATGCAGGAATTATTTTCCTTCCGTTGTGGAATACATATTAATAACCCTTTCTCCACCAATTACCCCTATATACCTCCTATTGCTTAATGTAAATCCCGCTACAACTAGTCGTATATTTGTTGACACTCATCTTCTACTTTCACTTTCACATACTCCATTTCCGGTTAAAAAATTCGCGACTCTGCGGCTACCGATTAACTGCTCATTCGTTTTTGTCAGAGTGAAATGACATCATTTCTCCTTGTGTCTCTGTCCTAACGTAATGACGTCATATCTCCTTTTATCGCACCTCGGACAAAAATGTCCAAAAACTATTGGTTTAGAACTGTCACGTGGTGACCCTCTAATTTTCTATAGAGGGTCATTAGGATGCCATTATAGGGCAATATGGCCGCCCATTGCTCACCGCTTCAAAACTTATTCTAAAAATGATACAATGCTCACCGTAATTCCTATTCGCTACATTGTATCGTAAGATGATAGGAGTTGCCTCCCCTACGCCAGGCAAAAATAGTAAGACGTTGTCGCCAGCGACCGTCTTTTGTTGTAGCGTGGGTGCTGTCCCCTTATCTAAGCGTTTCGGCGACATTGACAGACAACAACAATGGAGAGATTTTGGCAGACGACCACGCAAAAAGGGTCCTCGATGCGATACATTTGTAATATAGTCAGTAACTGACCCTCTACAGAACCAAATAGGGTCAGTAAGATGTATAGGAGGCTCAGGCGGAAGGGTCAGTAACTGACTATATAACTAATAGTGTCTTTGTCCGAATGTAATGACGTCATATCTTCTTGTGTTTTTGTCAGAGTGAAATGACATCATTTCTCCTTGTGTCTCTGTCCGAATGTAATGACGTCATATCTCCTTGTGTCTTTGTCGGAATGTAACGATGTCATATCTCCTTGTGTCTCTGTCCGAATGTAATGACGTCATATCTCCTTATGTCTTTGTCAGAGTAAAATGACATAATTTCTCATTGTGTCTCTGTCCGAATGTAATGACGTCATATCTTCTTGTGTTTTTGTCAGATTGAAATGACATCATTTATCCTTGGGTCTCTGTCCGAATATAATGACGTCATATCTCCTTGTGTCTTTGTCCGAATGTAATGACGTCATATCTCCTTGTGTCTCTGTCCGAATGTAATGACGTCATATCTCCTTATGTCTTTGTCAGAGTAAAATGACACCATTTCTCATTGTGTCTCTGTCCGAATGTAATGACGTCATATCTTCTTGTGTTTTTGTCAGAGTGAAATGACATCATTTCTCCTTGTGTCTCTGTCCGAATGTAATGACGTCATATCTCCTTGTGTCTTTGTCCGAATGTAATTATGTCATATCTCCTTGTGTCTCTGTCCTTATGTTATGACGTCATATCTCCTTATGTTTTTGTCAGAGTAAAATGACATTATTTCTCCTTGTGTCTCTGTCCTTATGTAATGACGTCATATCTTCTTGTGTTTTTGTCAGAGTTAAATGACATCATATCTCCTTGTGTCTCTGTCCTTATGTAATGAAGTCATATCTCCTTGCGTTTTTGTCCGATTCACTATAAAACTGAACTCTCAAGTCATTTCCATGGAATATTGTTTATTTCAGTACATCTTACAATACTTGCAAGGAATCTACACTGTTGAACATTTATCCTTGACACTATATATTTTCGAGTTAGATTTTGCACGTATCATCGTGCTTGATTAATTTTTGCATTCACACTCTGTGTGCGCGTGCGTGTGAACATAGCAGTTATCGGTGTATACATGATATAAGCAGTAGACACCACGTTTAATGGAGAATAGCGGCGGCCGACAACTTCTGTGACGTCGGCTTGCTGAAGTAGGTGGCTTCCTGGAGCATGTCTTGACAACGCACCAACTTCCGATACAGTGTGAAACATCCAATAGATGGCGCTACGATACCGGAACATAAACATATGATCAGTAAACACAGTGCCAACTTGTCACAGCAAAACTCTTCATTCGTCAGAATTTCTGTCAAATAGAAACAATGACAACGACAAATCATTTCAACGTTTCTTATATTTTTTTCATTGCATTTAACTAAAAAACAGAATAATAGTAAATAACTAAATTGACGGAATACACAATTAATGTTGTTCTTATTGCTATCAAACCCCACCTAACAGCGGCATAGTTAGCTTGCTTATTCAGAGACTGTGGGGCGGGGGCTAATGTAGTCACCCCGGCGTCGGCGTGAGGTTTAGATGCGAGTTCTGTGTACGAGTTCGACATTCAGGAAGGATAGTAGAAAATGTATTTAAAAAAATCAAAATGTTTTACTTTTTATTTACTTTACCTTTTTGCAAGTGCTGCGATTCATTCATATACATGTAACATAGAATATTTGTAATAGGATGCTGATTATTGCAAAGAGGTTCCCTCAATAAATGCAAAAAGAAATGAAATACAGTTTGTTAAAATGTCCCCGCACTTTCGAGCCTCTCTTAAAATACAGTAGACCATTCGTTTTCCAGGTAAGGTCACGAGTAATTGAGAAAACTTCGGGGTTTTGTCCGGGACCGGATCTTTAGGCACTGGTTGAAAAAGACACGTAAACACTTTCCTATTTTAACTTATGTGTATCATCATTATGTTACAATGCACAAGAAGACTGTCGATTTTTTTCTGCATCCTACATCATTAAAATTGGCCTGATTTATTTAATGAAGATCCGACCCAATTTGAAGACCAACTAGATTTACCTGGAAGTGGAGACTTCAAATACAAAACAATCCACAATACAGGTATGTGAGACCTGTACGGGCACGCTAGTTGATTTGGGTATGTGAGCCCTGTACGGGTTCCGGGATACATCTCGCTAGTTGATTTGGGTATGGGAGCCCCGTTACGGGTTCCGGGACACATCACGCTAGTTGATTTGGGTATGTGAGACCTGTACGGGTTCAGGGATACATCACGCTAATTGATTTGGGTATGTGAGCCCTGTACGGGTTCAGGGACACATCACGCTAGTTGATTTGGGTATGTGGGCCCTGTACGGGTACCGGGACACATCACGCTAGTTGATTTGTGTATGTGAGCCCTGTACGGGTTCCGGGACACATAACGCTAGTTGATTTGGGTATGTGAGACCTGTACGGGTTCCGGGACACATCACGCTAGTTGATTTGGGTATGTGAGACCTGTACGGGTTCCGGGATACATCACGCTAGTTGATTTGGGTATGTGAGCCCCGTAACGGGTTCCGGGACACATCACGCTAGTTGATTTGGGTATGTGAGCCCCGTAACGGGTTCCGGGACACATCACGCTCGTTGATTTGGGTATGTGAGACCTGTACGGGTTCCGGGACACATCACGCTAGTTGATTTGGGTATGTGAGACCTGTCCGGGTTCCGGGACACATCACGCTAGTTGATTTGGGTATGTGAGCCCTGTATGGGTTCCGGGACACATCACGCTAGTTGATTCGGGTATGTGAGCCCTGTACGGGTTCCGGGACACATCCCGCTAGTTGATTTGGGTATTGACAGCAAACTTGTTGTGTATGTACATTATGGTCAAGCAGTGTTGTCGCGTACCAAAATGCAACAGATAGAACCTCTGTTTGACTTTGCCCTTGAATTAGTACTGAAATACAGGTTTCCAATTCGTATGTCGACATTGATTCAGATAGGGAGATCACGCACGGTTTGTACACATTTCATGGTTCTGTGGTGTTTCACGTACCACAATGAGGCCCAAACAGTCACATTTTACCTATTTACCTCAAGTACAGAAATACCGGTTTAATGGCTGTATCTCGTCCACTGATTGGTTTAGGTACAGATATACAACTGTATGTAACCATATATTGATGATGGTAAACTACTCTATAGTGTGTACGCAACATGACAGCTATATTTTAGGCCAACGCTTTTTAATATATATATCTAGTTATCAATAACAATCGAAAACAAATGAGTTTCCACCACCTGGCGCTACTACTCCAATACAAGCCGCGATATCTACTTACTGATAGTAGAGTAATTTTCCACTACATTGATAGATCCGCCAACGTCAATTGTGTCGTCATTTCCTGTCTGTCGTCGAAATCGTTCATCTCCAGTTATTTCCCGATTCGCATCACGACGCTTCCGGCCCCAACCTGTGTAACTGTCGTCACACTTTTCCTGATTTCGAAAATTTGAAAACCAAAATTTATTATTTAGGGAAGATATCCGGTACACTAATACAACACATATATTATTATGTACATGTATATTATATTTATAACTTTAACCTAATATATCTGTGTTTAGTATGACGTCGCAAAGCGTTCTGACGTTGCATTTTTATGCGGTCATAACCTGCATATTACAAAGTGTATGATACTAATTTAAGGATTGCTAGACCGAAGTCATTTATGTATATGTGTTTTCCTACTTTGTCTGACATTCATAACAGTTTTCATGTTTTCTTTCTTGACCAAACACATTTTACCAGACATCATTTCGGTCAAGCGGTGTTTTGGCACACACTTGTATAAACCATTGAAAACGCTCAAACATTATGCCGACACGATGGTTTGATTAACCGACATATTGAACGTAGATCGAATGTCTTTCGAGCAAACATTCCATTAGAAGCTTTGCGAGCGCAGTTCATAGAATTGATATATTGATTTCAATTTTCAGAACTTTTCAGAACATTAGAGTTTTGAATTTACAAGTTACACAAAATAATACAATAAATTTCCATACAACATCCACTCACCGGAACGCACGGCCCCTGACAGAGTTGGAGAATACAGGTAAAGTTCATCATGACGGACCCACCGTCAAGGGCAGTCGTTCGGAAGGCACTGAACTCATTCATTAGGTTCCCCTGTTTTACCTTCCAGAAGTTTCCGAATAGTTCTGGTTCTACAGAGCAGCTGGAATAGTTTACCAGGATGAAGGCTTAAGTCATCTTACAAGGGTGATGTTTTAGTCAACAGTTCATCAGATGTATTCAGAATTAAATCTTAAACTGTCAAAAATTCAGTTCCTCGTCAACAAAACCTTTATTCGGAACTTAAAAGAGCGTTAAAAATGTAACACTGCAACATCTGTTTTTGAATATCTATTCATAGAAGTAATTTATTGCACTGTAATCAGCAATTTATTCACGACACAACCATGGCTCTTCTGAAACTTCCCGATAACAACCAAAGGATCAAACTGTCGACAGAAAACATCTCTGAGTGCATCAACAATAGAACCATTCTGATAATTATATCGGAAGGTTTACTCAGATAGACATCAGCTATACATGGTTATTGTTGAAAACAAATATAAGTGTTGATTAATGAAAGCCTACATATCTTATGTTATTAACAACCACGGATCTGTGTTATATAGATAATCAGTGATGAACATAATACTCCGTACGTCACCGCCAAATACATTATCACTCGCGAAAAAACATCGTAACAAAGACTTACAAGTCCTCGATGATGACAATGTCGGACGTCTGGCAATACCTGGCCTTCATGTCAAAGTCATCTGCAGATACATTTAAAGGTCAAATGTATGTTAAGGTCAAAATTTAATTGTAAGTTCAAAGTTCAAATAACATACCAATGAGGTCAAGGTTTACACAAAGGTTAAAACTAAATGTACACTAAATTAAGGTACAACTGCAGTTCCCTAAATTATGATTTATTTAGAGTCAACATCGTAGATAGTCCCGCCTGTGTCTGCGGATCTCCATGTGAAAACGCCTATCATTTCTTTTTTGAATGTCCAGTTGATACACACCAGAGGTTTGAATTGTTTCAAAATCTAAATTTTGTTAATGAAATCTCTTTGGATATATTGTTATCTGGTATTAAGGATCTGTCTTCTCAACAAAATAATGATATTTTTCGTAACGTGCAAAAATTCATAAAGACCAGCGGTAGGTTTTAATTCGTAAGGCGTTTTATATTTCTATACTCAATTTGTGAGACTGTTCAATGTTGTTCTTTTCCTTTTTCTTTTTCTTTCTCTTTTTGTTTCTGTTGTTGTAATGCTACTATTATACATATTATTTGATACCCAGTTGTGCCATGTTTGTAAATCTGATGTATATATTTGAGGAAAGGGCGTAAATAATGTTGTAATAACTTGTGCCCAATCCTGTTGTCACTATTTTGGCAATAAAATATGTTTAAACTTGAAAAAGGTTAAACGGTTTCAAGCTTTGTATCGATACATTAACCAAAATTCAAAATAATGAAAGATTTACTGATAAATTCCTGCTCCATCTGTAGCGACATGATCAGGCGATCAGTCAGTTTGACCTCTGACCCTATGACTTCCTCCCCCGTGATCACTTTGAAGAAGGATAAGGAGGCTATCGGTTTGGTGGTCCTGTTGAGGCCAGCGTCATCGTCTTTGTCTCTGTGTAGCGACAAGTGATCAGTTTTAAAATCATAAAAACAACGAGGTCACAAGGTCACATTGGTACACTTTACGATGTGGGAGAAACAGAAACATGAATTATTGTTAAAAACTGTTAGGATGCAAAAAGATCACAGTCGACAGAAGAAAACTCTATCGATCAAATCCAAGATAATGCACAGGGATATACCTGGTAAGTTCCCCGAAGCTGTTTGTGTAAACTATGAGTGTAACGTGCGCGGGCACTGTCACTGACCTAGCTCGGCGGTGCTGAACAGCTGAGTATGTCACAGGGTAATACCGCATCGCCAGAAAAAAAAACTCGCTGGTAGAAGCCTCCTCACACATAGGCGAATCCATTAAACGCAACCTGGCGAATTGGGTAAATTTGTCAAATCTACCGAATTTTGACCGAAACTGTTTGAATATGTGTTACATAATTTGAAATATAACGAAAGGTAAACGTAGGGGAACTATTTGTTGTGAATGATTTACGAAGTGTGACGAACGGTTACTGTTATTCGCTAGAATGCGTTGGGTCGCGCAAACAATCTTTGTTCTTTCCGTTAGCGATCAGGAACGCAAACATGCGAACCGAAGCGCAACTTTGCGCATGCTTCCGAAGCCGTCCGAAGCTTTCCGAAAGGGTTTTTCCGCATCCGGTCGTTACCGGACGCTATACAAGACTGGCGAAAACCAGGTGGGGTCATTTGCCTTCTAACTTTCTCCGACTCGATTCCACGTCGTATTGCTGTTTGGTTTTTAACTTTTTTTAAGTTTTGTAAGATGATGCTGAAGAAACCCTAATAATAATAATATAAGGAACCAGAGCTGGCAGGCTTTCTGATGGCTATGTGTTTGCCATCAATGGCAGCAACACAATTAGGAAAGTTCCACTTCTTGAAGAAACTATCAGCCAGTTGTTTTCATTCTTCAGGTGAGGAGGGGGCTGTCATAACCTCATCAACATATTCCTCACACATATCATGACACATTTCTCTGACCACTACAGAGAGGGTATTTTCAGCGACCCGCCAGGAGTACTGCATGTCTGAGTACATGGCACCGGAAACCAGGTGGCGTAGAGTGGCAGCTAACTTGAAGCCTGGATCCAAGAACTCCCTGTACCAGGTGTGTTGTTTCCAGAGGCGATGACGGACCCTCTCGAATATTTCATCATACATTTCAGTTGGCATGCAGAAGAATTTCTTGAAAGTTCAAGGATCTTTTCTTCTGAGCTCAACCATGAGCTGATCATAGATGCCACATTGGCGCCGTCTCTCGGGATGCGGCCATGGTCTTCTCCAGACGTGCTCTGGCTCCTCTTCTCCACCTAAATCGGCCTCTGATGAACTGGTGGATGTTAAAGTGTTGCTGGGAGTCTTCTTAATGGGCCATAGCAGCCACATACTGCAGCCTCAGGCGTTGTATATCTTCCATTTTGACGAAGGAATAACTAATAACCTTGATATTTAGCCTCCTACTTTTATATATGAAATTCAAGAACTACACAAAACTGTTGAGATACTCAAGAAATGTAGATGCGTTATTATTCGCGTCGTCCTCGATTGCTTGATATGCAAATTAACTGATCACGACGTGATAACTTGCGACCTCTAACGCCAGATGACGAACGCTTTGCGAAGACTTTCCGATTGGTAAACGTATTGAAACGAATTTTAACGAATGATAGACGAAACTTTTAAGGACTAATCGCAACGGACACAAAAGCTCACAAACGCATCCATACGAACACACCAACGATGTACAACGTACATATACTAATGGGAACGAATTTTACTCAAGTCCTATTCGCCAGGACACGCAGTACACGGGGGATGTAACTCGTCCATTATCACAAGAGTCTGAGATAATGGACGAGTTACTGAGATAAAAGGAGGTAAAGACATTCACTGGTCGCCTTGGAAACAAGAGTCTGAGATAATGGACGAGTTAGCTCGTTAAACTTCATTGCATCCTGTATCAGAAGGACCAAGTTTTGGCTCAGTTCAAATCCGATGGTTTAAAGGGGACATATTTGTGACCGATGTTCAAAAGCTAAAATAAATAAAGTCAAGGTCCCAATTTAATTTTATCACTTTAACAAATAAAACAACGTTGCAACAATTCATTTTCATTCAGATTACGCTTTCTCATGCTTTTGGAGTATTTGTGTATATGAGAATCCGACTGGTAATACTCACGCAGCGCCAAGGAAGCTACTGACAACCACTTCATTCGTGTCTGCTATACACATGACTGGAATCTGTTTGTCTGAGCCGGTCTGGAATGATCGAAGCTTCTGGACTATTATCCGGAACGTCATTTCCTGTCCAACATCAACCAGATATATATAGGACTAAGATCTGATTACTAGAAATATAACCATAGTCTAGCTAAAGTTATGGAATTTATCGCCTATTCTTTATCAGATAGAGTTGTGATGCCACACATCATACCACGAATATCGTGCACACAAAGCGTGATTCGCTTAGATTAACTGATCAATATTACGAAATGCGAAAACATCCGGAAGTCTCGTATAAAAAGATGCATTGCAGATATTCAACTTCTTACAAGTATATTTGAAATTACCATTCAAATTACAGAATATTTGAAAAAATTGTAAAACTCAAGAATCAGGGTAGACTTCAAGATACAGTGTTCCTCAATAGGGGTAGAACATTTTGATTTTGGAGTTTTTAGTGAATGCAGCTGTGTCTGGTACGTGTTATAATCGTTTCGATTTAAGCTGAAATATAAATTTCTCAATAAAATGATATAGCAGGCTAAGGTTATAGATAGAGTTAAAATATGGTAACATACTTTAAATTCAGGTATAAACTTAAACACGAAATTATTACCATAAAGCCATAAGCGAATAGTTAATTAATTTACATTAACCCTGATAGCTATCATACTTCCCAGAGTGCCGGGCAATTACAATACACATATCAAATATGTATAACATTTTAAGGATGCGTCTAGTGATTTTCAACATGCGAGTGAAGTAGAGTCAGTATCAAGTCACTGTAACAGTGTCATTTACGTGTTCAGGTTAACTATATTTAGATAAAACACCGACTTTGTAATTCCTTGTCGAAGTTCATATCCTACAGTTTTCTTGTGTGTATCGTGTTTAAACTAGCAAACATTGTATTTTTTTATGTTCATATTTATTTGTCATAATAATTAGTCTATATATTAGCTTCTATGGAATTAAGTCTAATTTGTGGATTTTCTCTGTACGATTAACATGTTGTGATATAAGTTCCTCCCAATAACTTCCTGGGTATGCGTTGTACGGTGTTCTTCCTCTTCTTCTTCTTCTTCTTCTTCTTCTTCTTTTCCATACAGTTATAAACTCAGGCGCATGTCGGCACACAGCTAACAACCTCTCGGCATATTTACATTTAGAATTGAATAGATGGCTTAGATGGTGAATGCCCCGTGACCAGCTGGTAGCCTGTACAACATGGCCTGAAGCCCTCTAATGATGACACTGATGTTATATCTGAAGGGAGCTTGTTCAACTGCCTGATGGTTCGTGGGTAAAAGAGTGTCTGTATGCGTCTTTGGATGCTGCAAGTTCCCAAAAATGTGTTTGAACCTCGGTTGCGACTGTCTCCTGCCACTAGTTGTTTATGTGGAACGTCAACCAGTCCATGGGTGGTCTTAAACATCATGGACATTCGACTCTTCCCTCGTATGGTTGCCAAGCTCTCTCAGCCAAGTTGTTGTGTATTGCTGGTAACCGCTCCAGGAGTGTAATCACTGTAGTTTATTTTTTACGAATCTTCCTTACGAATGGCTGGACCTTCTCAGCTGGTGTTATTTGTTGGTTGGTGTATTGGTCCCAGACGGTTGCTGCGTACTCTAGTGTTGGTCGTACGATGGTGTTGTATGCTACAGCGTATAAAGCCCAACGATCTTTTCGCCTGGGTGGCAATGTTGTTTACGTGTGTGTTCCATTTTTAGTCCTGGCTGATGATAATTCCAAAGTTCTTGCTGGTCTGCTCCCTCTCCAGTGTATGCCTTTGGAGCCGGTAGTTGGTAATCAACGATTTCCTCTTGTTTGTGAAATGTATAACTGTACACTTCTCAGGGTTAAAGGCCATCTGCCAATCAGATTCCCATTTCTCCAGTGCTGCTTGTTGCAGTATAGCTGTGTCGTGACTTGATGTTATGCGTCTATATAGAATTGAGACATCCGCAAATTAGCGAATGTCGGATATTACCTCCGCCATGTCGCTTATGATTGACAGAAATAACAGTGGTCCAAGTACTGCCCCCTGTGGCACTCCGGATAGTACATCTGCTATTGTTGATGTTGTTCCCTCGAATACTACCTATTGGATTCTGGATGTTAGGAAGTCCCTGATCCACTGGTTGCTGGTACCTCTTACTCCAGCTTGTTGAGTAGACGAAAGTGTGTCACTTTGTCAAATGCTTTGGAAAAATCAAGTTAGATGGCGTCGACTTGCTCTCCTACTGATAGACTGTTGACTAGTTCCTGGATAGTTATTATGAGTCTCGCATGATCTTCGGCAGCTGAACCTGTGCTGTTTGTCGGTAAGTAAACCCAGGCTATCATAATGATCCATGGAGGTGAGTGAAACTGGTCTGTAATTAGAAGCCTTGTGTGTGTCGCCTTTCTTGAAGATTGGAACAATGGACGCCTTCCGCGAATCTGAGGGTATATTGCCATAGTCAATGGATGCTTGGAAGAGTCTGGTGAGCATGATGGAAAAATCTATGGCATATCCCACGAGTAATCCGGTCATGTTGCTTTACGGGGTTTGAGTCCCTTCAGCAATTTGTGGACCCCTCTCTTGTCAACCCCAATGTCCGGCATATGGGGATACACCTGGCATATTGGGGATACACCTTGACTTGGGATGTGTAACAGATCGCCCCTAGTGTAGACAGACTGAAACTGTGTGATTAGGATCTCAGCTTTGGTTGCAGCATCATTGTGGAGCAATCCATCAGTATACTTAAGTGGTGTCCTGTTTGTGGCTCTTCAGGTAAGACCCGAGTCTTTTAGGATTTCCTAGCATGTCACCGTTAATCACCTCGTCCAAAGGCGAGACAAATGCTTTTTTAACATGGTCTTCTTTTAGCTTGATCATGGGAACTGGTTTAGAGATTAAGTCATGGTTTCAATGATCAAGTCATATCGTTGTTATGCTAAAAATTGACATCACCCGACGTCTCTTGAGTAAAATTATCGTTGCCAGTTTTAGACGGTTGTCCTGCGGGTCACACCATCACCCCTATCATTCCTTCCTCACACACGAAGTTATCTCTGTTGTACACTGGTGTAATCTTCAGTCGGAGATTAAATCCCAACTCCCCAACACATAAATAAATTCCTAACCGACCTACCCTATTTTTCTAGGTCATGTTATTATTAGTGAAGGGACACGCCTTGCTTACCTGCCTGCGGATTGTCGTGTTTGGTCAGATTTGACACCACTATACGAGTACGGCAATAATGGCAGTGAAAGCAAATCGTTCCTTCATCTACGTCACTTCCGTTTATAGTAGAAATGGAATTTTATAGGTATTGTATTTCCATGTACTCAACATTTTTAGAAATAACTCGATAGTGTATTAACATATTTTGCTGAAATTTGCTTTATTGTATTAAGAAATGATGTACCTATCATTTCACGTGAACGTTAAAAATCACTAGATGCATTCTTTGAACCCTATATGTGTCTTGCGGTAATGATACTAGTCGAGCAATGACGTCATTCCCACGCTCAATTTCTTAAACAATTCTTAATACTTAACGTACCCATTCGATATTACAGGAAGCAAAATCGAATTCGTAAAACTCTTCTCCGCTAGATGTCGTCTGTTTACAGTTTTCTCCTTGACCTTTAATGAAAATGAGTCCATCGTCTGCTGCTCCAGTTACCTTGACGACGAGATTACTCCGCGTACAGCTGATGACACGAACTAGAATGTAACATTAAATAGTAGTATCAGTTACCTTGACGACGAGATTACTCCGCGTACAGCTGGTGACACAAACAAGGATGTAACAATAAATATTAGTATTAGTATTGTCCAATGAGTTACACATGGTATTGTAGTTACATGATTTAACTGTTTACAGTAACAGTGTTATTGCTGAAATTAGGAATAATTGTAGTTGACAGCACAACATATTGGCGCCAGAAACTCTCTTATGTCTCGTATGCAATCAACAACTACATCTCACATGAAGGTAGTTAAAATGTTGATATTGATATTTTACCAGGCGTTTGAGAATTTCTAACTAAGACAGGAAATGCGAGATGACTAGAATACCGTAACACATATCTGCTGGATATTTTAGATCACAACCGACCCTCCTCGCGATCAGCATGTTATGATATTTTACATCAATTATCATACAGTATCTATACAGGCTATGTGACTCAATACTATAAGATAATTAGGTTACATGGTAAGCTATTTCGTGCTGTAGGAGTACAAGATGACCCACACAGTGTGATGGTCTAGATTCGGAGTGACGGTGGTTATTGAATTATTACGCATTGACCTAATAATACTCTGATCAGTTACGTTATCAAATATGTATATACTCCCTAACGAGTCCGACAACGCTCTATAAATAAATATATTGTCCTGTCCGAATCGACGTACCATAAATATAATGTCCTGTCCGACTCGAAGTACTAAACATATAATGTCCTGTCCGACTCAACGTATTATAATTATGATGTTCCTGTCCGACTCGACGTACTTTAAATATAATGTCATGTCCGACTCGAAGTACTATAAATATATTGTCCTGTCCGACTCGACGTACTATAAATATAATGTCCTGTCCGACTCGACATATTATAATTATAATGTTCCAATCCGACACGACGTACTTTAAATATAATGTCATGTCCGACTCGACGTACTATAAATATATTGTCCTGTCCGACTCGACGTACTATAAATATAATGTTCTGTCCGACTCGACGTACTATAAATATAATGTTCTTGTCCGACTCGACGTACTATAAATATAATGTTCCTGTCCGACTCGACGTACTATAAATATAATGTTCCAATATAATGTCCTGTCCGACTCGACGTACTATAAATATAATGTCCTGTCCGACTCGACGTACTATACATATTATGTTCCTGTCCAACTCGAAGTACTATACATATCATGTTCCTGTCCGACTCGACGTACTATAAATATAATGTCCTGTCCGACTCGACGTACTATCAATATAATGTCCTGTCCGACTCGACGTACTATAAATATAATGTCCTGTCCGACTCGACGTACTATAAATATAATGTCCTGTCCGACTCGACGTACTATAAATATAATGTCCTGTCCGACTCGACGTACTATAAATATAATGTCCTGTCCGACTCGACGTACTATAAATATAATGTCCTGTCCGACTCGACGTACTATAAATATAATGTCCTGTCCGACTCGACGTACTATAAATATAATGTCCTGTCCGACTCGACGTACTATAAATATAATGTCCTGTCCGACTCGACGTACTATAAATATAATGTCCTGTCCGACTCGACGTACTATAAATATAATGTCCTGTCCGACTCGACGTACTATAAATATAATGTCCTGTCCGACTCGACGTACTATAAATATAATGTCCTGTCCGACTCGACGTACTATAAATATAATGTCCTGTCCGACTCGACGTACTATAAATATAATGTCCTGTCCGACTCGACGTACTATAAATATAATGTCCTGTCCGACTCGACGTACTATAAATATAATGTCCTGTCCGACTCGACGTACTATAAATATAATGTCCTGTCCGACTCGACGTACTATAAATATAATGTCCTGTCCGACTCGACGTACTATAAATATAATGTCCTGTCCGACTCGACGTACTATAAATATAATGTCCTGTCCGACTCGACGTACTATAAATATAATGTCCTGTCCGACTCGACGTACTATAAATATAATGTCCTGTCCGACTCGACGTACTATAAATATAATGTCCTGTCCGACTCGACGTACTATAAATATAATGTCCTGTCCGACTCGACGTACTATAAATATAATGTCCTGTCCGACTCGACGTACTATAAATATAATGTCCTGTCCGACTCGACGTACTATAAATATAATGTCCTGTCCGACTCGACGTACTATAAATATAATGTCCTGTCCGACTCGACGTACTATAAATATAATGTCCTGTCCGACTCGACGTACTATAAATATAATGTCCTGTCCGACTCGACGTACTATAAATATAATGTCCTGTCCGACTCGACGTACTATAAATATAATGTCCTGTCCGACTCGACGTACTATAAATATAATGTCCTGTCCGACTCGACGTACTATAAATATAATGTCCTGTCCGACTCGACGTACTATAAATATAATGTCCTGTCCGACTCGACGTACTATAAATATAATGTCCTGTCCGACTCGACGTACTATAAATATAATGTCCTGTCCGACTCGACGTACTATAAATATAATGTCCTGTCCGACTCGACGTACTATAAATATAATGTCCTGTCCGACTCGACGTACTATAAATATAATGTCCTGTCCGACTCGACGTACTATAAATATAATGTCCTGTCCGACTCGACGTACTATAAATATAATGTCCTGTCCGACTCGACGTACTATAAATATAATGTCCTGTCCGACTCGACGTACTATAAATATAATGTCCTGTCCGACTCGACGTACTATAAATATAATGTCCTGTCCGACTCGACGTACTATAAATATAATGTCCTGTCCGACTCGACGTACTATAAATATAATGTCCTGTCCGACTCGACGTACTATAAATATAATGTCCTGTCCGACTCGACGTACTATAAATATAATGTCCTGTCCGACTCGACGTACTATAAATATAATGTCCTGTCCGACTCGACGTACTATAAATATAATGTCCTGTCCGACTCGACGTACTATAAATATAATGTCCTGTCCGACTCGACGTACTATAAATATAATGTCCTGTCCGACTCGACGTACTATAAATATAATGTCCTGTCCGACTCGACGTACTATAAATATAATGTCCTGTCCGACTCGACGTACTATAAATATAATGTCCTGTCCGACTCGACGTACTATAAATATAATGTCCTGTCCGACTCGACGTACTATAAATATAATGTCCTGTCCGACTCGACGTACTATAAATATAATGTCCTGTCCGACTCGACGTACTATAAATATAATGTCCTGTCCGACTCGACGTACTATAAATATAATGTCCTGTCCGACTCGACGTACTATAAATATAATGTCCTGTCCGACTCGACGTACTATAAATATAATGTCCTGTCCGACTCGACGTACTATAAATATAATGTCCTGTCCGACTCGACGTACTATAAATATAATGTCCTGTCCGACTCGACGTACTATAAATATAATGTCCTGTTCGACTCGACGTACTATAAATATAATGTCCTGTTCGACTCGACGTACTATAAATATAATGTCCTGTCCGACTCGACGTACTATAAATATAATGTCCTCTCCGACTCGACGTACTATAAATATAATGTTCCTGTCCGACTCGACGTACTATAAATATAATGTCCTGTCCGACTCGACGTACTTTAAATATAATGTCCTGTCCGACTCGACGTATTATAAATATAATGTCCTCTCCGACTCGACGTACTATCGGTTGTTCATGTTCAACTGAATACTGTTTGATCAGAGAAATGAAAACGAAGAAGTCAACTACATTTGTTTGTTAATTGAACCTAGATAATTAAACTGGTTATTTTATTATTTCATATAGCAAAATTTATTCTGGCTTTGTACAACTCAACGTGTTTGGAAAGCGAACATGTAACCTTGTTAAGTATATTTTAGTAAATTGCAATAGCTTCAGTTTAAAATTAAAAGTTATATTTTAACCACTAATTCATATTTATTCAAAATTGGTCTTGTTATTTATCCTTATAGTTTTCATTGTAAAACTGAAAATGAAACATTAGACCATTCATTATGGGAATGTGAAAAAGTACAAATAGTCTTAGCAGATTTCAAATTTCCATTAGATTTGTTATTAATTGCTTGTAACAAAATATTTTTACCTTTGGTCTCTTTAACGAAAACACCCCAGTGTAGATAACCTAGTATTTATAAAACTATACATATAAAAGCCTAGATGTCTGCAGACTCACCTTTCAATTCTAGCTTAATTCCAATTAAATTCAGGAAATATATAATACTCAAAAATCCATCGCTACAGGTAAAGGCAATACTTATCAGCATGATTTAAATAATGATTGGACAATATTGGGACAGATTATTGCTCTCTCCATAGCAAAAACCGATACAACAGTATATTGTTGTAATCCCCTGGAAATACGTGTACACATAAGTCTGTCACATGTTATACTAAACCATTGTCACCAAGACACCACTTTATTACTTCCTACTTTGTCATTGTCTCCTCCTGTGTCTTTATACCTTTCTTTTCTTTCTGCTGAAACAGTACATACCATTAACTTTAATGTTACAACTTTCACTTCAAACTATCGTGTTCTGCTGGATTACTACATACTATAGGTGTTATTCCTTTTGTTTGTGTTGTTGGTTTATTAGAATACATTATCAGTATCAATTAGGTAAATAAGGACAAAGTATGAATGGTTGAAAGAATGTTAACAAGTGAGCGTGCACACTAGAGTACATCTTAAAGGTTGATATTGGAAAGTATTGTACAACAATCCTGAAAAAATACAGAATTACAAAAAAAACAAAAACAAAAACAAAATACAATCGATTATGGCTAAGTACAGCTCAACGCATTTGGAAAGTGGAAATGTATCAATGTAAAGTTAAAGCATATTTCCTTATATTTGCAGTTTCAAGTGTAATTGACTCAATAACCTTTGTTGAGGTCATTGTCATTATCACTCGATAACGACAGTCATTCTCGTGCGAGTAGTGATATAAACATCGTGTACATATATGTGTAAGTTAACAACCCGGGTTTCCATTGGGGTTTTTTTTGGAAGTAAAACAGAATTACCGGGGATACCAGATTTGTACATTTCATGCAAAAGATACATTGTTGAAATGTACACATACATTGTTGAAATTCATACATTCCGATGACGTCACGTTGTTGACAGCGCACGGTGATTACTGCGGATGAACGTTTACTTTGATCACATAGTGTAAACAATACCCAGAAATATTCAATTTTGACAATAACGTTCGATATACGGCAGTTTTGCCGTAATATTTTCAACTGCACTCGATAAGGCTATTAGATAACGGATAACTGTTGAGATAAACTTATAATGTAATGACAACGATATGATTTTATGATAACAGTTTACGAGTGCGAGTGAAATATTGTACGAGTGCATCGGATTACGCAACACTTTGCAAGTTGTGCTAAAAATAGCCGCATAGAGCAACTTTGAAGTAAGAATTATCGCTTATGATTACATGTTTAAGAGCAAATATACAAACCAATGTGTTGTTTATGTTGAAGATATGCAGCCGATTTCGTTCGTATAAGTCCTAGTTTTGTCGTCATGTCAGAGTGGCTTTCGAAGAGTGGCGCGAAGCGTAACCGTATCACACATCGAGCTTAAATGGAACGCTTGTTATCCTCCCGCGGGATATATTCCGTTTAAAAGAGTGCGTTTTATGTAATATTAAAGAAAAATACTATAATCGTAAGGATTAAATTTCCATTTAGTTTAGGTTATCGGGTGAAAACTACAATGGAACTCGGGTAAATTAATCATAATCGAGTTCCATTGTAGTTATTACCAGATAACCTCAACTTAATAGAAAGTTAATCCTTAAATAAAATTAAAACTAAAACTTTTTCCTGTAAAATAAGCATATTTTGTTAAGGGAAATATGTGTCTTGTAATATAAGGAATGTTTGGTAAAACATGCCCCTCAAGTTTTATTGTTTTGATACTTAAATAAAACAGTTTTTAAAAGCGTAACAATCACACACCTGGACGCTACATGCACTCTGACCTTGTTTGTTTACGTACGTGAAGGGTCAAATGTCGCAGCGTTAATATACGTCAGGAACATGCATATGGCGGCACAAACAAGTGAAGTCATCACGTACATCGTGGATATGGTCAGCTGTCCAACATTCGGTCATCAGCCAAGGATAGCTCTCGTCTCTGAGGGTGAACATAAAACAATGTCATCTCTCTCTGTTTAGGATTCGAACTTATATTCTACTTTTCTCGAAAACTATAAGGCGGAGGTACAGTTCATTGGTCTTCAAGAACTTATATTAACTTGTGCGTGCTGAGTGTCACTGGAGGCACTGAAAAACTGTGGAACTAAAAATAGCACAGCCTCCCTCCTTCTATCTCAGTAACTATTTCCTATTATCACTCCACTCCAAACCTCACACCCTCCTTCTATCTCAGTAACTATTTCCTATTATCACTCTACACCAGACCTCACACCCTCCTTCTATCTCAGTAACTATTTCCTATTATCACTCTACACAAAACCTCACATCCTCCTTCTATCTCAGTAACTATGTCCTATTATCATTCCACACCAAACCTCACACCCTCCTTCTATCCCAGTAACTATGTCCTACTATAACTCCACACCAAACCTCACACCCTCCTTCTATCTCAGTAACTGTTTCCTATTATCACTCTATACCAAACCTCACACCCTCCTTCTATCCCAGTAACTATGTCCTACTATAACTCCACACCAAACCTCACACCCTCCTTCTATCTCAGTAACTGTTTCCTACTATAACTCCACACCAAATATCACACCCTCCTTCTATCTCAGGATCTACTTCCTACTACAGGGGTGTCAGCGTATTAGGTAGTAACATTTTCCTTCCGTCCCTATACCATTGTCTTAACAACTTACCTGATCTTACGGATGCAACGTCACCCTCTGGGATGGAGCTGAACAATCTGACCACTGCTCTATTATCTCGAAGTCTCCTGTCATATAAATTATTGATGACATCAGACACACGAGTTAAGCTGATGCTGGTCAGCTACTAAATAATCTATGTCCTCTTAGCAGTTATAGTTATCGGTACTGACACGTCCGAATGGTACAGGTCTTATAACGTTATGACAAGTAGTACAATTTGTTATTTGACCTTCTATTTACTATCTAATCTGAGTATGTAGCAAACATGTCTTCAACTAAAATTGGAAAGAAAACCAGGGGTTACATACTCGTAAATATTGAAGGTTTTGGATTTTTTATATAAAATAACATTTGACTTTGGTTAAAGTTCACAGTTAATATAACCTATGACCTTGAAGCCGGGGAACATTCAATATGTCAATATTGGGTTTGTTTAGCTATAACGTAATATCCACAGGCCAGTTTTTAGTATTTTAGACGCTACATCATTCATAACAAAACTTAAAGACGGTTTAAAATAAGTAATATGATCTTTATCTATTGAACAACAACTGTGAAACAAGTAAATCAGCTTACATTAGTCATTTTTGATAGTAGTGCGCAAGGTTTGAGGAAACTGGAGTACCTGGAGAAAACCCAGGTGTTCGGGTTTCTCCGGTTATTCTGGCTAACTTTCAAAAATAGAAATACGAAGTAAGGACACACGAATTTACAGATAGCTTTGGATGTATCGGAAAACATCATATCAAAGACATTTAAAATATTCAATTTCATTTGAAGATGTCGTATGTCATTTTAAAGATGTCTTTTTAACATTGCTATAATTTCTATTCAAAAATTATATAGGATACCTTTAAGGTATCGTTAATGCATCTTTAGTGCATTCTTTAAGGATGTACTCCTCGGAGGTTTCAGTCACGTTCAAGTCTCGTTTTGATCTGGTGTAATGGGTTTTTGTAATATTTAACAAATTATTATCAAGTTTATTAGCAAACACGCATCTAAAAAATTTGTCAAAAAACTAGATGCCTGTTGTTTGTAGAACTTTTTTTTAACAAGAATTTAAAAAAAAATACCAATTCGGTGGCCATTTTGAAAATGTGTATTTATGTGCATTTCTTGCGCCTCAAAAAAGGTCAAAATTTCACCTTTTTTGACACAAGATTGATCCCTTAAATTGTCATTGTGTTGCCATTTTTAATTGTAGCAGTTTCAATTTTGCTGTACAACTTTATAATGTTCAATATGATAAATATTATGCAACAAACTGGAAAGTTATACATTATTGATATTTTTTTTTTACATATTTACTGTAACTGAAGCATTTTTGATTTTTGACCCCGAAAAAGGTAAAAAATAGTATTTTTTCATTAAAAAATAGGGGGTAGGGGTAACTAAAATCGGCTTTCTGAGTTAAAAGAATAAGATTAAGAAATTTTACTTCCATAATTTAAAAGAAAATAATATTTTCATCTATTCTACAAACAGTCATACATATCTGATAACACACTTTTAAGAAATTGTATGAATTTGTTCTGCAAATGGTCAAAACCCAAAAAATCACCTAAAATCACATGTTGTGTTAAATTGGTTTCTTTGACCGATCATAGCACATTGTAAATGTGCAACCACCTCCCCACCTCCAGGCTCCTCCTCATATTACATGTAGTCTCAGACACTGGGAACTAGAACTTTCTCCTCGGATTGAATGTATTTGACTCAGTGCATCTCAAAAAGTGAAAAGAAAATCTATAAAGTAAAAACTTTGTACATTAATGTATACTTGGGGAGCTGTCTTAGAGATGTGTAACTGGGGATGGTATTCAACCTGGCCTTTAATCCTTCCAATGTTGATGCCTCCACTACTGATTCTGGTGCAAGATATTATTTTAGTTTGTTACTTTGTCCTGTCTAGATCTTAGCATGACATGTGATGTCCTCAAGTTCTGCAATCACTTGCTGTGGACTATACTACTGGAACTGCTTTAACAGCCTGTAGATATGCTCTGTGTGACCAAAAGAGTAATAATAAGGTAGACAAGTACTCGAATGAATGAAAACATAGTGTAACAGTAATATGTCTATCATGTGTAATTGTTTACATCTATACATTGAATTGTCATATATTAAAATCAGCTTTTAAACCATTTTGAATGTCTAAAGTATTTAATGCTCAGGGTATACAAAAAGTGTAAGACACATGACCAAAATAATTTGCGAAACTTATTTTTAGTTCCGAAATCCTGTATCGCGGAAACGACATATTCCGCTCGTACTTCTGTAACACTGTGTTTTGAGCTCTATTGTCTATGGTACGATAAATATACAGCAATGATTAGATGTAGACTAGGTAATGGTAGCAAATATACAGGAACTACACAACAAATAGTGAAATCAAGCACAACACGTTTGGAATGGCGCGCTAACATTGTGTACGGAAATATAATTTCGTGTATAAAACCGGATCCGGAGGCGGTCCAAAGATATATCGATCCGGAATACGAATCGGAACTTCGAAAAATTGATTTTTTATTAAAGTTCCGAGCATTAATGCTATTTGATTTTAATGTATATCAAATATAAGTGTGGGGACACGATACAGTATTATATTTGTGACGGTACGGATAATAATATGACATAATTTTGCCTTTTACGCTTTAAAATAGGAATAGGCAAAATGGAGATGGGGAATGGAGTTCTAACTTCAAGTGAGCGAAATCGCAAAATTTTCACCGGGAACCCCACATTTTTTATGCTTACCGAAAATCATATATACTTGGCTGTCTTCTGTAAAAGTTTTATAAAAAGACATGGGTTTTGATCGCATTTTTGTTTGTTTTTAATGCATTCGTTCGATGTAAATGTGTTAAAATTGCATTTTGAAAAGAATAGATGGCCATGAAAAATGCAGGAATTTACCAAATATAATCATTTTTGTTTTATTTCTGCTTTTGATAGTACATCACGAGATGTGTAAAAAATATTCAACTTTGTCGTAACTCAAATTTTGTAAATATTATAGAAAACAATTTTTTACTTAATTTTCATATTTTGGGGGAAATTTGCAGAAAAGTAGCTACCTTACAGCGGAAATATCTCAAAAAGTAAGTCGAGAACCCCCTTTTTTCTTTTCTTATATGGAATCTACATAACACATGCAAGAAAATAAGCCTAATTAGAAAAAAATGACATGGGTTTTGCAAAAAGGATGGACCCACCTTAATGTTTAGTTGATTTGCCCTATATGGATGTATGTGGTATTACTCTGACTACTTTTTACAAAAGAGTTCTACGTTGTATACATGTATTATTTCTGTTGGTAGTAGTTTAGTTCTACATTGTATACATGTATTATCTCTGTTGGTAGTAGTTTGGTTCTACATTGTATACATGTATTATCTCTGTTGGTAGTAGTTTGGTTCTACATTGTATACATGTATTATCTCTGTTGGTAGTAGTTTGGTTCTACATTGTATACATGTATTATCTCTGTTGGTAGTAGTTTGGTTCTACATTGTATACATGTATTATCTCTGTTGGTAGTAGTTTGGTTCTACATTGTATACATGTATTATCTCTGTTGGTAGTAGTTTGGTTCTACATTGTATACATGTATTATCTCTGTTGGTAGTAGTTTGGTTCTACATTGTATACATGTATTATCTCTGTTGGTAGTAGTTTGGTTCTACATTGTATACATGTATTATCTCTGTTGGTAGTAGTTTGGTTCTACATTGTATACATGTATTATCTCTGTTGGTAGTAGTTTGGTTCTACATTGTATACATGTATTATCTCTGTTGGTAGTAGTTTGGTTCTACATTGTATACATGTATTATCTCTGTTGGTAGTAGTTTGGTTCTACATTGTATACATGTATTATCTCTGTTGGTAGTAGTTTGGTTCTACATTGTATACATGTATTATCTCTGTTGGTAGTAGTTTGGTTCTACATTGTATACATGTATTATCTCTGTTGGTAGTAGTTTGGTTCTACATTGTATACATGTATTATCTCTGTTGGTAGTAGTTTGGTTCTACATTGTATACATGTATTATCTCTGTTGGTAGTAGTTTGGTTCTACATTGTATACATGTATTATCTCTGTTGGTAGTAGTTTGGTTCTACATTGTATACATGTATTATCTCTGTTGGTAGTAGTTTGGTTCTACATTGTATACATGTATTATCTCTGTTGGTAGTAGTTTGGTTCTACATTGTATACATGTATTATCTCTGTTGGTAGTAGTTTGGTTCTACATTGTATACATGTATTATCTCTGTTGGTAGTAGTTTGGTTCTACATTGTATACATGTATTATCTCTGTTGGTAGTAGTTTGGTTCTACATTGTATACATGTATTATCTCTGTTGGTAGTAGTTTGGTTCTACATTGTATACATGTATTATCTCTGTTGGTAGTAGTTTGGTTCTACATTGTATACATGTATTATCTCTGTTGGTAGTAGTTTGGTTCTACATTGTATACATGTATTATCTCTGTTGGTAGTAGTTTGGTTCTACATTGTATACATGTATTATCTCTGTTGGTAGTAGTTTGGTTCTACATTGTATACATGTATTATCTCTGTTGGTAGTAGTTTGGTTCTACATTGTATACATGTATTATCTCTGTTGGTAGTAGTTTGGTTCTACATTGTATACATGTATTATCTCTGTTGGTAGTAGTTTGGTTCTACATTGTATACATGTATTATCTCTGTTGGTAGTAGTTTGGTTCTACATTGTATACATGTATTATCTCTGTTGGTAGTAGTTTGGTTCTACATTGTATACATGTATTATCTCTGTTGGTAGTAGTTTGGTTCTACATTGTATACATGTATTATCTCTGTTGGTAGTAGTTTGGTTCTACATTGTATACATGTATTATCTCTGTTGGTAGTAGTTTGGTTCTACATTGTATACATGTATTATCTCTGTTGGTAGTAGTTTGGTTCTACATTGTATACATGTATTATCTCTGTTGGTAGTAGTTTGGTTCTACATTGTATACATGTATTATCTCTGTTGGTAGTAGTTTGGTTCTACATTGTATACATGTATTATCTCTGTTGGTAGTAGTTTGGTTCTACATTGTATACATGTATTATCTCTGTTGGTAGTAGTTTGGTTCTACATTGTATACATGTATTATCTCTGTTGGTAGTAGTTTGGTTCTACATTGTATACATGTATTATCTCTGTTGGTAGTAGTTTGGTTCTACATTGTATACATGTATTATCTCTGTTGGTAGTAGTTTAGTTATATATTTTGTTTAATCATACAATTAAAAGGTACACAAGGATTTATGAAAATATAGCGTAAAGTAAAGAGGACACGATAAAAGCTGATTCACAATAAATAAGGTTTATCCGTGATGCAACTCATAGAATGTAGTCTAAGTCGTCATCGTTATAGACGTTATTTGGACAAATAAGAGGGCAAAACTGTGTATCCAAAAATGTAAAACAACAAGAGCTCCCAGAGGGATCTTGGCGCCCACCATTGTACCATCTCCATTGGTTCTTTGTCAGTTCGATCTATTCTCTTCTTTTCTTTTATCTGTTTGATCGAGTCACGTAAACAGTAAATGCACCTTCTGATCTAAACTTAATACTGATGTGTATGAAAGACTACCTTCAAAGTGAGTTTGTCATGTCACATATTTACTAGTACAGTCCTTAATGTGAAAGAAATAGAACCGATCTGTTTAGTTTTTCCTTCGGCCATTTTGTTTTTATGATCAGTCTCAAAATATAACATGCACATCGAGGGATCAAGGGGAGCCTAAATATCAAATTTGAGAAAAAAGTTATTCCTGAGAAATAGCACTTACAAACCTTCAATGTAAAAAAATTGAAGATGGCCTCCGGTCGGCCATTTTGTTAATCTGATCAGTCTTAAAATTACACATGAACAATAACGGACAGTTGGGAATTTGCATATCAAATCTGAGAAAGAACCTTCTAGTACTTCCTAAGAAATAGCGATAACAAACTTTCATTGACAAATCCAAGATGGCTGCCTGTGGGCCATTTTGCTTATCTGATCATACTGAAAATTAAACATGCACACCAACAGACCAAGGGGAATCTACATAACAAATTTGGGAAAGATCCCTGCAGTACTACGATAACAAACCATTAATGTCACAATTCAAGATGGTGGCCTTTCGGCCATTTTGTTTATCTGATCAGTCTAAAATGTAAACGTGCATAACGACAGACCAAGGTGAACCTACATATAAAATTTGAGAAAGATCTATCCAGTCCTTATTTAGAAATAGCTTTAACAAACATTCACTGACAAAATTCAAGATGGCTGCCTTTCGGCCATTTTGTTTATCTGATCAGTCCAAAGTAAATATGCACAACTAGGGACCAAGGTGAACCTACATATAAAATTTGAGAAAGATCCTTTTGGTACTTCCTGAGAAATAGCGATAACAAGAATTGTTTAAGGACGGACGACTGACGACGCACCATGGACCACGGACGCAGGGCGATTTGAATAGCCCACCATCAGATGATGGTGGGCTAAAATGACAAAAACAACATGTTCCAATATAATTTACCAAAGGTTTATTTATATAAGATGAACCACGACAAATTAAAACTACAACATAATAGTCAAATTAAAACTACAACATAATAGTCAAATTAAAACATATAATATACGACTACGTTATGGAGCGCTACTGGTCGCGACTACCAATAATGGCTGTAACATTAATCCAGGTGTCGTGAATATGTAGTACACAGTACTAACGAGGTTCCATAGTATTCAAACACACAGCCAATGGTATCAACTTATCATATACTCCGTGTTCTAGATCTAATTTACCGCGTACAATTAAAACAACAATCAAAACATATTCAAAGAAATTCGCAGTACAGACAATTCCTGGAAACCAAACATCACATTAATACAATGCAGGATAAATGACAAAATAGTTTCAGCATAAAACATGTCTATGTAATGTAATGAATGGCTCAGTAAATAGACCTTATAAACTCTCAAAGAGAGGCTTTCTACCGACTTATTTCTATTGACTAATTGGCGTTAGATGTTTGACTCCTAACGCCAATTAGTAACTAGAAATAGGTCGGTAGACTCTCAGTCCTCGAGGACAGCCATACAATACAATAACAGTAGTTCAATATTTACATTTTTTTTCAACATTAAGCAGTACTTTCTTTAGTAAAAAACATTAAACATGAAACAACCAGATAAACAACGTCGTCAGTATCACAGTTCAGCCTGTAGTCATTATATATCCCCTCCCCCCATCATATCTATAATCCGATATTATCTCGCTTTGACATATACATTTTTTCTCCAATCAAATATAAGTATCTCCAGTTTTTACAACGTGTTATTATCTATCCTTGGTAATTCATCCTCTAATTCTCCCGACATTGTCACTACCTCCTATTGGGTAATTTACATTAAACACTGAATCACTTTGGCTGAATGCAATCAGTAACAGTGTATTTGTTTAGTTTACATTAATTATCATAACTAACACAATTGTTAGCCGAGCGAATAACTATTATTTTCTTAATACATGTAAATATGCACTGTAAAACAGACATATTAGTTTTGGAAATAATTTGATAAGATATTTTGATACATAAAAATTATCTACATTTTCCATAAATGAAATCGGTTGTTAATGATTAGATTTAATCTGATTTATGGAAAAGCGTACATTTGTAGTTTTTCGGTCTCTAAGACTCGATCGTGAATGATACCTTTAACAATGACATCAGTGTGTCACACCCATTTACAGCTCTAGTCGAGTTATAGTGGTAATGACCGCTGATTCCTAAATCAGATACGCTCACCTAAGGTTTACTCTCAACATTATCTCAGTATCAGAGATAACGTAACGTATACATATATTTACCGACTTACTTTAGCCTACCATTTCTCGAAGTTTTTCCTTTATTTTCTAACAGTTCCTGTCTTCAACTTCCTTCAAAGGAACCCGTTATTAAGCCAACTATTTACTATTTTCCTCTTCACGAAGTCACAATGAGACATTTATAGACGTTCCCGGTATATCACGTTTTGTCATAGAATCTTATATAAATATTTATTAATATGTCGATAAGAAATAGAACACTGTCCTATTAATTGGTTACAATTAAACACTACATGTGAGTACGTTTATAACACATTATACAGGGATATAGAGTCACTAGTAACTTAACTAATTAGCTACAACCGTCTGTATCCCCAAAGGGGAACAACTCAGTGACAAGGACACGACTCAAGTCCGAGAATATTACTGCACATGACAAGGAACCTCCACAATCTGTCTGCCGTCTGGATATGAAAAATAAATTTGTTTAGATTAAACAAGATTAAATTGTATGTGTACATATAACAAGAGGCCCAAGGGCCCTAGCGGTCACCTGAGTTATATTATAGGTACTAGAAGCTTTATTTTATTGTTTAGATGTGATGTGGAAATCAACATGTAAACTAAGTGAAATACAATACTTGTCATGTCATAAAAGGATAAGAATTTTAAAATATTGGTAAATGTTCCCTTTTGGGCCCCGCCCTAGCCCCTGGGGATGGAGCAGGAATCCCAATTTTACAATGTAATACCCTTATCCACCAAAGATGATTCTGATCAAGTTTGAATAATTTTCTGCTGAAAATAGATAAAATATACCAAAAAGTGTTATTTCCCTATATAAACTATAGTAAACTTTACCCCTTCCCAAGGGGGGAACGGTTGGCTCAGGGGTCCTGAAATTGACAACTTCCATAAAGTTCCTGCTGATCTTTCTATCCATGCACTGAAATTGTCTATAGTACCTCTGAGTATTGAGGAGAAGATTTTTGAAATATTGGTAAATTTTCCCTTTGGGGCCCGCCCTGGCCCCTAGGGTTGGGATAGGAATCCCAATTTTACATTTTAAAACCATCTTCCTCCAAGGATAATTCTCACCAAGTAAGAATAATTTCCTACAGAAAATTGTAAAAATATACACAAAAGTGTTATTTCCCTATATAAACTATAGTAAACTTTACCCCCTCCTACAGGGAGAACGGATAGTTCGGGGTCCTGAAATTTACAATTTAAATAAAGCCCCTGATGATCTTTCCATCCATGCTGAGAAAAGGATTGTAGTACCTCTGAGCCTGGAGAAGAAGATTTTTGAAATATTGGTCAATTTTCACTTTCGGGCCCCGCCCTAGCCCCAGGGGTTGGGGTAGGAATCCCAATTTTTACACTTCTGTAGCCTCATCTACCAATGAAGATTCTGACTAAGTTTGAAAACATTCCATCCACTGGTTCTTGAGAAGAAGTTGAAAATGTAAAAAGTTTACGGACGACGGACGACGACGGACGGTAAGTGATCGGAATAGGTCACTTGAGCAAAGCTCCGGTGACCTAAAAACCATATTAAGCCATGATTGGTTACTTTATGTAAACATACGCACATGCCATGAATTTATTATTTGGAAGTACATTTACAGACATCCCTTTGTTCTCTGTATCAATAATTTTCAGATAACAATTAACTGTAGAGCATTTATTGATTAGATATGTGTCGAACAGGAAGATGTAGTTTGTGTACAGCAATAAGATATTTGACAAGCATTACATGTTAATAAAAGTCACGTTAGTCTGGCTAGTAATTTATGATGTGCAGCTGATGTTTGTTGTCTATTTACTAAACAATCCACCCGCCTATAGTTACGTAGGACCAATCAGATGTATGAACAAGACCAAGAGAACGTGTTTACCCATGCCCACGCATCGAGCAACATCCTGTTTACACATCGGACAGCACCGGAACTTGAGGCAACAGGTCCTACACGACACCTTGTGACGACAAGGGAGAAACCGTGCGTCCGACAAGCGCTCCTTACACAAAGCGCATGGTAAAGGGAGCTCCGAGAATAGGTCAGCCAGTAACTGTTCCCCTAGGGTACGCTGGGCTGCCTGGGGTCGCCTAGAAGTCAAAGTTAAAGGGAAATTATTACATTTCATCATGTATACTATTGAAATGATCTATTTGACAATCACGTTCATGTTTTCAAAGATTATCTTAGATATATGCATATTATTAATTAGTATTAGAACTTGTTTCGATGTCAAAATATCTTGTTCGGGAATGTGGGTCACTTTAAGGAAGCTTTGTCAAGAAGAATAAGAAGATATACAATTATCATAAAGGCGAAGAAGAGTTGGAGGAGTGCATACGCTTGGTACCCAGGAGAAACAACGTATCCTGAATTAGTTTTGGACCGACGCTGAAGGAAGTGAAGGAAATCGCGAAGCAGGATCTGCGCGAGGAACAAATACAGTCTCACATTTTCCAAAGCTTTGTAAGCTGAGACGAGAGGTGCAACTTTGTGGTAGATTATACGAGTGCTGGATGACGGCAGAAGGACATGCGGAACATCTTTCATTTTTGTCCATTGATTCGAAGAGGGAAAAATGATAGAAGCTTATAAGACATACATCGATGAAGGTGGGGAAATGCGGATTTCCCTACAAGAAGAAAGTGAAGAATAGAAAAAGTTTTACGATAACAGAATGAAAACCCCAACTTTGTGACAAATGTATGTCTGAAACAAGGGTCTCGTGAGTTAAACGTGATGGTTTGAAAAACACGCGGGAGCAGAGGACAGGGAGACCTAGTGCAAGATGATATAATAGAGGCAGAGGAGACAAAGCACCCCAGTGGAACTGAGACAGCATGACGTCAAAGAGGTTGACGGGACAAAGCACCCCAGTGGAACTGAGACAAAATGACGTCAGTGAGGTGGAGGAGACAAGGCTGGCCAGTGGAGCTAAGACAGCATGACGCCAGTGAGGTGGAGGAGACAGGGCATGTCAGTGGAACTGAGACGGCATGACGTCAGTGAGTTTGAGGAGACAGGGCATGTCAGTGGAACTGAGACAGCATGACGTCAGTGAGTTTGAGGAGACAAGGCACGCCAGTGGAACTGAAGCAGCATGACGTCAGAGAGGTGGAGGGGACAGGGCATCGCAGCAGAAAACAGACAGCATGACGAAGAGAAGTAGATGGCACAAGGCATCCCAGTGGATATGAGACAGCATGACGTCACAATGGTGGAGGAGACAAGACTACCAATAGAATTAAGAATGCATAACGCCAGAGGGGTGGATGGGACAAGGCACGCCAGTGGATATGAGACAGCATGTCGTCAGAGAGGTGGATGGGACAAGGCATGCCAGTGGATATGAGACATGATGACGTCAGAGAGGTGGATGGGACAAGGCACGCCAGGTGAACTGAGACAGCACGACTTCAGAGAGGTGGAGGGGACAATGCATCCCAGTTGAAGTGAGACAGCATGACGTCAGAGAGGTGGATGGGACAATGCATGCCAGTGGATATGAGACAGCATGACGTCAGAGAGGTGGATGGGACAAGGCCCGCCAGTGGAAATGAGACAGCATGACGTCAGAGAGGTGGATGGCACAAGGCACACCAGTGGAAGATGGATGTACCGGGACAGTATTCCAATTCTTACCTCGAGGGACGCCTGAAATACGGACACATATAGCATTAGATTTTAACCTACGGGCAGTGAACGAGCTGTTATCAAACTCGGCAAACACCTGTACTTGACGATAATAAATTGACAGACGATATCCATGGCAACATGACCATATGCTTTAGGATATTGCTTCGAAAACTAGCTGCCCACCTCTCCCATCCTCAAGGTAAAGAAAGAGTGATAAATAGACATTTAACTACTTATAGAGTTTTAGAGTTTTCAGAATGTCATCCTCACGATAGAGAACATGTAAAATTATAAATGATACTTTGCTAATGGCAAACATAGCGATGTATTTACCATGGTTAACCATTCAGGCCCCAAAAGACTCAAAAGGACGTGCTAGATAGAACATGTTCCGAAGCATATTACCTATATTTAATGATAAATCACCGTGTGAACTTTCCTCTCAACCTCTGTTATTTTGACTAATTTGATCTTTGTGGCTTACATTTTTGCGGCGAAGTTGCTGACGGCCTCCTTCACCCTTTCACTGCGACAGACTTCGAGGGGGGTCTTGTTTCTGTTGTTCCTGGCTTGAGGGTTAGCTCCCTTCTCTATGAGCTTACCCGCCACCTTACAGCGTTCGTTGTCTTCTTGAACATTGGCGCGCATCGTTAGGCCAAACAGCTGTAGCAACTGCACAAAGGGGAGAAATAACAATGACAACGTCATGTAACAGAAAAGATAACGCTATAAACTGGTCCAGACAAACACTCGGCAGGTTACACATATGTAAAGAAGAGTATCATAGCATCCTTCTTCTTCAACAGTTCTAGTTTTCGAATCATGAAATTCACACTCAATAGTAAACTTGTTACACTCTTCTAACTCTACTTACTGGGTCCCCTGCCCCGCCCCTGTGTCCCATCAGTGCCACGTGAAGAGGCGTGTCTCCATCCTGGTCAGTCACGGTCACGGAGGCGCCTGTTGGGGCACATAATGTAGACAGTTATAGCGATTAGCATTGGTACTGTCTACCTGACTGGCTCGTATCTAGAACATATGTGGATGTAAATGTAGGGTGAACGCCTATGGAGACTAAACGTTAGCGTTGGCCCTCATTGACTTACACCTGTGTTGGTGTTAACGGTGCGGTAATACAATTCCTCCTAGAGCATTTAAATGACAAAATTACTATAAAATTATATCACCATATTGTGCAACATATTCCAACTGTTATTTGGATACCGAATATTAAACTATTTCAAAAAAAGAATTGTTCTTTTTATTGAAGATTTAAGCAGATAGTATGTGAATAGTATAGTGAGAGAAATTCCCAATTTTGACATGTTAAATTGCTTAGATCTAAAACGAGTCAATTTTTAATACTTGCTTAAACGTTGGCTACCAATAATATCTTTCGACATCAGGAATTCCAAAACGAAAATGACGACCGGTAAATAGGTGTTAAGCTTTGACTAAAAAACAAAACAAACCACATAACTTTCTTTCTTTTAACTTGTGTTTTTGCTTCATGACCAAAAGTCCTTGGATCTTGATATTTGGCAAGTAGGTTGTTCAGGTGTATGGATATAAGTGTTGTAAAAATTGGTGACCTTAACCTTCGTTCAAGGTCATAAGAATCAAATGTGCTAAGATAAATATTCTGAACGGGAAGCAGACAAGGACATATTTAAAGCTGAGTTAAAGATATAAAATAATGTAATATTCTTTCATATTGTGTTTATGATGGGAAATGGGCAAAGACAAAATAAAATAATAAATCAAGTGTATATTAGATTTATCATTAGGATTATTTTATTGTTTTTAAATATCTGCATATCTTGGTCTATTACACAATCTTAACCTTACTATAAGTAGTTCTCCAGAGGATGATTTACTTTCGCAGAATACATATTTACGAGTTATTACTGCTGCACATAACTTTAAAACATGCTTAACCATAATGAACATTGATAATCAAATCTTCATGAGTATGTGAAATCGTGCATTGGACATGTTTAGCTAAACAAGTGTTTTACAAATTACGTTTTCACACCATTGGTACGATTTATTTTTATTTTTGTTGATAGTGTCTGCATGGCGCTAAATTGTGCTTGTCGACTGTTTAACTCAATAAAGCAGAACCTATTTTTGCGTTATAACGACCATTTCCAATAATGGAAGGGAATCTCTAACATAACACCGATTACTTACAGTGTTGTACCTGTGACACTCACTTTAGTGCATTCGGTAGAGCACAAGATTAGTAAACCAGAGGTCCTGGGTTCGATCCCTAGCGAAGGCATTGAAAAACTATTGACCTCTGTTACATGACCACTACTCACCGTTCTGTAGTAGTACCTGTACGGTCTCGAGGTAACCCTGGTGAGCGGCAAGGTGTAATGGCGTCAAGTTTTCCTGGTTCTTGATGTCAATGGTAGCTTTGCCCTGGATAAAGACACAGACATAGTTACACCTAAACAGTTTACATTTACATCGTTTACAAAGTGAGCTGGCCAAAGAAATTGTGACGTCAAAGTCATCAGACAATATTTAACTACGTGTATAAGAAACATACCTGAAATAAAGGAAACAAGAACAAAACGCAATAAAAGAGGAAGCTGATGGCGATCTCACCGTGGCCGATGAGTTGGCCACTTTTATTTGTATATCTTTCTGGTAGAACATGAATATTGGTGTATATCCTACTTGAATAACGCGACGATCTTGAGATGTCTATACGCTGTGAGTATTGTTGTTACAGCTGTAACAGGAAAGAGAATAGTGTGCTTTCACCGGAGATCGAACCCTCGATCTCCAGGTTCCTAGTCGGACGCTCTACCACTGAGCTAAAGGGAAATTCCCCCTAGCTCGAAGCTAGAAGGCTACCTTAATCCTATGTACAATTGAACCCTGCCACACTACTCCCCGCTTTTTAAATGTGTTCGCCCTCGAACACCACAACCCAGGTTCTAACTCCCTGTCATTACAGAGAGGGCCACGGACACCATTTGTAACAGGAAAGAGAAAAGTGGGCTTCCACCGGAGATCGAACCCTCGATCTCCAGGTTCCTAGTCGGACGCTCTACCACTGAGCTAAAGGGAAATTCCCCCTAGCTCGAAGCTAAAATGCCGCCTTAATCCTATGTACAACTGAACCCTGCCACACAGCTTACACCGATCCCTGGAACATCTCTCGGTAGTTACCTAGACGGCTAACACCATTCCCTGGGATATCTCTCGGTAGTTACCAAGACGGCTGTCACCACTCCCTGGGATATCTCTCGGTAGTTACCAAGACGGCTGTCACCACTCCCTGGGATATCTCTCGGTAGTTACCTAGACGGCTGGCAACACTCCCTGGGACATCTCTCGGTAGTTACCTAGACGACTCACACCACTCCTGGGACATCTCTCGGTGGTTACCTAGACGGCTGACACCATTCCCTGGGATATCTCTCGGTAGTTACAACAGCTCACACCAATCGGTAGTTACCTAGACGGCTGACACCATTCCATGGGACATCTCTCGGTAGTTACCTAGATGACTCCCACCCCTCCCTGGGACATCTCTCGGTGGTTACCTAGACGGCTGACACCATTCCCTGGGATATCTCTCGGTAGTTACAACAGCTCACACCAATCGGTAGTTACCTAGACGGCTGACACCATTCCATGGGACATCTCTCGGTAGTTACCTAGATGAGTCACACCACTCCCTGGGACATCTCTCGGTATTTACCTAGACGGCTGACACCATTCCCTGGGATATCTCTCGGTAGTTACCCAGATGACTCACACCACTCCCTGGGACATCTCTCGGTGGTTACCTAGACGGCTGACACCATTCCCTGGGACATCTCTTGGTAGTTACCTAGATGACTCACACCACTCCCTGGGACATCTCTCGGTAGTTGCCTAGACGGCGGACCCCATTCCCTGGGACATCTCTCGGTAGTTACCTCGACGGCTAACACCATTCCCTGGGATATCTCTCGGTAGTTACCTAGATGACTCACACCACTCCCTGGGACATCTCTCGGTGGTTACCTAGACAGCTTACACCATTCCCTGGGACATCTCTCGGTAGTTACCTAGACGGCTGTCATCACTCCCTGGGACATCTCTCGGTGGTTACCTAGACAGCTTACACCATTCCCCGGGACATCTCTCGGTAGTTACCTAGACGACTCACACCACTCCTGGGACATCTCTCGGTGGTTACCTAGACAGCTTACACCATTCCCCGGGACATCTCTCGGTAGTTACCTAGACGGCTCACACCAACCCCTGGGACATCTCTAGGTAGTTACCGAGACGGCTGACAGCACTCCCTGGGACATCTCTCGTTAGTTACCTAGACGGCTTACACCATTCCCTGGGACATCTCTCGGTAGTTACCTAGACGGCTCACACCAATCCCTGTGATATCTCTCGGTAGTTACCTAGACGGCTCACACCAACCCCTGGGACGTCTCTCGGTAGTTACCTAGACGGCTGTCAACACTCCCTGGGACATCTCTCGGTAGTTACCTAGACGGCTTACACCAATCCCTGGGATATCTCTCGGTAGTTATCTAGACGGCTCACACCAATCCCTGGGATATCTCTCGGTAGTTACCAAGACGGCTGTCACCACTCCCTGGGATATCTCTAGGTAGTTACCTAGACGGCTGACACCACTCCCTGGGACATCTCTCGGTAGTTACCTAGACGGCTGACACCACTCCCTGGGATATCTCTCGGTAGTTACCTAGACGGCTGACACCACTCCCTGGGATATCTCTCGGTAGTTACCTAGACGGCTGACACCACTCCCTGGGACATCTCTCGGTAGTTACCTAGACGGCTGACACCACTCCCTGGGACATCTCTCGGTAGTTACCTAGACGGCTGACACCACTCCCTGGGACATCTCTCGGTAGTTACCTAGACGGCTGACACCACTCCCTGGGACATCTCTCGGTAGTTACCTAGACGGCTGACACCACTCCCTGGGACATCTCTCGGTAGTTACCTAGACGGCTGACACCACTCCCTGGGACATCTCTCGGTAGTTACCTAGACGGCTGACACCACTCCCTGGGACATCTCTCGGTAGTTACCTAGACGGCTGACACCACTCCCTGGGACATCTCTCGGTAGTTACCTAGACGGCTGACACCACTCCCTGGGACATCTCTCGGTAGTTACCTAGACGGCTGACACCACTCCCTGGGACATCTCTCGGTAGTTACCTAGACGGCTGACACCACTCCCTGGGACATCTCTCGGTAGTTACCTAGACGGCTGACACCACTCCCTGGGACATCTCTCGGTAGTTACCTAGACGGCTGACACCACTCCCTGGGACATCTCTCGGTAGTTACCTAGACGGCTGACACCACTCCCTGGGACATCTCTCGGTAGTTACCTAGACGGCTGACACCACTCCCTGGGACATCTCTCGGTAGTTACCTAGACGGCTGACACCACTCCCTGGGACATCTCTCGGTAGTTACCTAGACGGCTGACACCACTCCCTGGGACATCTCTCGGTAGTTACCTAGACGGCTGACACCACTCCCTGGGACATCTCTCGGTAGTTACCTAGACGGCTGACACCACTCCCTGGGACATCTCTCGGTAGTTACCTAGACGGCTGACACCACTCCCTGGGACATCTCTCGGTAGTTACCTAGACGGCTGACACCACTCCCTGGGACATCTCTCGGTAGTTACCTAGACGGCTGACACCACTCCCTGGGACATCTCTCGGTAGTTACCTAGACGGCTGACACCACTCCCTGGGACATCTCTCGGTAGTTACCTAGACGGCTGACACCACTCCCTGGGACATCTCTCGGTAGTTACCTAGACGGCTGACACCACTCCCTGGGACATCTCTCGGTAGTTACCTAGACGGCTGACACCACTCCCTGGGACATCTCTCGGTAGTTACCTAGACGGCTGACACCACTCCCTGGGACATCTCTCGGTAGTTACCTAGACGGCTGACACCACTCCCTGGGACATCTCTCGGTAGTTACCTAGACGGCTGACACCACTCCCTGGGACATCTCTCGGTAGTTACCTAGACGGCTGACACCACTCCCTGGGACATCTCTCGGTAGTTACCTAGACGGCTGACACCACTCCCTGGGACATCTCTCGGTAGTTACCTAGACGGCTGACACCACTCCCTGGGACATCTCTCGGTAGTTACCTAGACGGCTGACACCACTCCCTGGGACATCTCTCGGTAGTTACCTAGACGGCTGACACCATTCCCTGGGACATCTCTCGGTAGTTACCTAGACGGCTGACACCACTCCCTGGGACATCTCTCGGTAGTTACCTAGACGGCTGACACCACTCCCTGGGACATCTCTCGGTAGTTACCTAGACGGCTGACACCACTCCCTGGGACATCTCTCGGTAGTTACCTAGACGGCTGACACCACTCCCTGGGACATCTCTCGGTAGTTACCTAGACGGCTGACACCACTCCCTGGGACATCTCTCGGTAGTTACCTAGACGGCTGACACCACTCCCTGGGACATCTCTCGGTAGTTACCTAGACGGCTGACACCACTCCCTGGGACATCTCTCGGTAGTTACCTAGACGGCTGACACCACTCCCTGGGACATCTCTCGGTAGTTACCTAGACGGCTGACACCACTCCCTGGGATATCTCTCGGTAGTTACCTAGACGGCTGACACCACTCCCTGGGATATCTCTCGGTAGTTACCTAGACGGCTGACACCACTCCCTGGGACATCTCTCGGTAGTTACCTAGACGGCTGACACCACTCCCTGGGACATCTCTCGGTAGTTACCTAGACGGCTGACACCACTCCCTGGGACATCTCTCGGTAGTTACCTAGACGGCTGACACCACTCCCTGGGACATCTCTCGGTAGTTACCTAGACGGCTGACACCACTCCCTGGGACATCTCTCGGTAGTTACCTAGACGGCTGACACCACTCCCTGGGACATCTCTCGGTAGTTACCTAGACGGCTGACACCACTCCCTGGGACATCTCTCGGTAGTTACCTAGACGGCTGACACCACTCCCTGGGACATCTCTCGGTAGTTACCTAGACGGCTGACACCACTCCCTGGGACATCTCTCGGTAGTTACCTAGACGGCTGACACCACTCCCTGGGACATCTCTCGGTAGTTACCTAGACGGCTGACACCACTCCCTGGGACATCTCTCGGTAGTTACCTAGACGGCTGACACCACTCCCTGGGACATCTCTCGGTAGTTACCTAGACGGCTGACACCACTCCCTGGGACATCTCTCGGTAGTTACCTAGACGGCTGACACCACTCCCTGGGACATCTCTCGGTAGTTACCTAGACGGCTGACACCACTCCCTGGGACATCTCTCGGTAGTTACCTAGACGGCTGACACCACTCCCTGGGACATCTCTCGGTAGTTACCTAGACGGCTGACACCACTCCCTGGGACATCTCTCGGTAGTTACCTAGACGGCTGACACCACTCCCTGGGACATCTCTCGGTAGTTACCTAGACGGCTGACACCACTCCCTGGGACATCTCTCGGTAGTTACCTAGACGGCTGACACCACTCCCTGGGACATCTCTCGGTAGTTACCTAGACGGCTGACACCACTCCCTGGGACATCTCTCGGTAGTTACCTAGACGGCTGACACCACTCCCTGGGACATCTCTCGGTAGTTACCTAGACGGCTGACACCACTCCCTGGGACATCTCTCGGTAGTTACCTAGACGGCTGACACCACTCCCTGGGACATCTCTCGGTAGTTACCTAGACGGCTGACACCACTCCCTGGGACATCTCTCGGTAGTTACCTAGACGGCTGACACCACTCCCTGGGACATCTCTCGGTAGTTACCTAGACGGCTGACACCACTCCCTGGGACATCTCTCGGTAGTTACCTAGACGGCTGACACCACTCCCTGGGACATCTCTCGGTAGTTACCTAGACGGCTGACACCACTCCCTGGGACATCTCTCGGTAGTTACCTAGACGGCTGACACCACTCCCTGGGACATCTCTCGGTAGTTACCTAGACGGCTGACACCACTCCCTGGGACATCTCTCGGTAGTTACCTAGACGGCTGACACCACTCCCTGGGACATCTCTCGGTAGTTACCTAGACGGCTGACACCACTCCCTGGGACATCTCTCGGTAGTTACCTAGACGGCTGACACCACTCCCTGGGACATCTCTCGGTAGTTACCTAGACGGCTGACACTACTCCCTGGGACATCTCTCGGTAGTTACCTAGACGGCTGACACCATTCTCTGGGACATCTCTCGGTAGTTACTTAGACGGCTGACACTTCTCCCTGGGATATCTTTCGGTAGTTACCTAGACGGCTGACACTACTCCCTGGGACATTTCTCGATAGTTACCTAGACGGCTGACACTACTCCCTGGGACATCTCTCGATAGTTACCTAGACGGCTGACGCTACTCCCTTGGACATCTCTCGGTAGTTACCTAGACGCCTGTCACCACTCCCTGGGACATCTCTCCGTAGTTACCTAGACGGCTGACACCATTCCCTGGGACATCTCTCGGTAGTTACCTAGACGCCTGTCACCACTCCCTGGGACATCTCTCCGTAGTTACCTAGACGGCTGACACCATTCTCTGGGACATCTCTCGGTAGTTACGTAGACGGCTTACACTTCTCCCTGGGATATCTTTCGGTAGTTACCTAGACGGCTGACGCTACTCCCTGGGACATTTCTCGATAGTTACCTAGCCGGCTGACACTACTCCCTGGGACATTTCTCGGTAGTTACCTAGACGGCTGACACCGCTCCCTGGGACATCTCTCGGTAGTTACCTAGACGGCTGACACCACGTGGTATGCTCGGTATACTCAATATCAGTCTATAATTTAACCTTTTATTTCACATTTACTGTTTTTGTGCTTTCCTTATATTCTAAAAGTGTTTAGATAAAATATTACCAAATATCTATCTTCACACATTCCTAGTTCCATTTTTATGTTAATTATATTTTCTGAATCATTCCAGTATATCAGCCATTCTTCTGTCAAGACCCAGTACTTTACTTAGTCACACTAGTTTTTGTTTGGTCGTTGTTTATTTATTCGACTTGATTGTCCACACTTGTCGGTATTATTTCTAGTAAACTTGTAACTAACCTTGAGGATAAGGAGACTGGCAATCTGGCTGTGGTTGTTGATGGCGGCGATGTGTAGGGCCGAGTGTCCATCAGTCTTCTTAACGTCCACTACTGCAGGGGCCTTACTCAGAATCCTCTCTGTTGCACTGGAAGGTCAATTCCAGGCATAGCAAAGTTTATGATCAAAGACAGCAACGTGGTAAGAATTATTCCTATAACTTGCGTTAAATCAATTATCAAATTTCAAAACGTTTTGCTGAATCTTAAAATTGTGGCCATTTTAAAACATTGTTTTATTAACAAATGTTTATCATTCAATCAATAATACTTGTTCCATTCACATTCTCTGTTCTTGAGACATGCCTTGTAGACCAGGCCATGCTGGTAATACGAGTTATAAAACGCTGCGTTGCGGTTCAGTAAAAACACACGGGGCTAGAAATTGCCATTAACATGCAAGTATAATTGGATGCTTTTATACGTATTGGTGTAATTAATGTTAGCCTGATATTTTACATACTGTTGAAACTATACTGAATATAACCGATAATTGTAGCATATTAATAGCAACTGAGTATAACAGTATAACAGTATGTACGATACGTTGTGGCGTTACCTTCCTTTTGAGTAATGCTACAGGTACTAATGAACATTTCACGATATGAAAATGGCCGCTTTTTTTCCGCGACGAAACGCAATCCTTGCTTAATGGCAGACGGCGAGGCTAGCACATGATTGAGGAAACCACGTGAGCACAGGGGAATCGTGTAGTGCGATTGAAGTTCTCGCAAATATGTTTTAGGTTTGAAAACGCTGATAATATACATTCAAGGATAAACATAAGCAGCAGGTGCGTTGTTATGGTAAACATTTCCTGTTCCACGAGTGGTACTACCCGTTCTTACAGTCAGGAATCACCCGTCCTTACAGTCAGAATCACCCGTCCTTACAGTCAGGAATCACCCGTCCTTATAGTCAAGAATCACCCGTCCTTACAGTCAGGAATCACCCGTGCTTATAGTCAGGAATCACCCGTCCTTACAGTCAGGAACTACCCGTCCTTACAGTCAGGAATCACCCGTCCTTGTAGTCAGGAATCACCCGTCCTTACAGTCAGGAATAACCCGTCCTTATAGTCAGGAATCACCCGTCCTTACAGTCAGGAATCACCCGTCCTTACAGTCAGGTACTACCCGTCCTTACAGTCATGATCAACCGTCCTTACAGTCGGGAATCACCCGTCCTTACAGTCAGGAATCAAGTGTAGCAAGGTAGTCCGAGGTCTAACGCAGATGTTGTATAGATGTGAGCTCTTTTATCTTTTACTTGTTGTATATATGTGAGCTCTTTTATCTTTTACTTGTTGTATATATGTGAGCTCTTTTATCTCTTACTCGTTGTATATATGTGAGCTCTTTTATCTTTTACTCGTTGTATATATGTGAGCTCTTTTATCTTTTACTCGTTGTATATATGTGAGCTTTTTATCTTTTACTCGTTGTATATATGTGAGCTCTTTCATTTTTTCAGTATATAGAGGACATAGCTAGTGAGTAGGACATTATATAGAGGACATAGCTAGTGAGTAGGACATTATAAAGAGGACATAGCTAGTGAGTAGGACAGTATATAGAGGACATGGCTAGTGAGTAGGACAATATATAGAGGACATAGCTGGTGAGTAGGACAGTATATAGAGGACATAGCTAGTGAGTAGGACATTATATAGAGGACATAGCTAGTGAGTAGGACATTATATAGAGGACAAAGCTAGTGAGAAGGACATTATATGGAGGACATAGCTAGTGAGTAGGACATTATATAGAGGACATAGCTAGTGAGTACGACATTATAGAGGACATGGCTAGTGAGTAGGACATTATATAGAGGACATAGCTAGTGAGTAGGACAGTATATAGAGGACATAGCTAGTAGGTAGGACAGTATATAGAGGACATAGCTAGTGAGGAGGACATTATATAGAGGACATAGCTAGTGAGAAGGACATTATATAGAGGACATAGCTAGTGAGTAGGACAGTATATTGAGGACATAGCTAGTGAGAAGGACATTATATTGAGGACATAGCTAGTGAGTACGACATTATATAGAGGACATAGCTAGTGAGTAGGACATTATATAGAGGACAAAGCTAGTGAGTAGGACAGTATATAGAGGACATAGCTAGTGAGTAGGACATTATATGGAGGACATAGCTAGTGAGTAGGACAGTATATAGAGGACATAGCTAGTGAGTAGGACATTACATAGAAAACATAGCTAGTGAGTAGGACAGTATATAGAGGACATAGCTAGTGAGTAGGACCACGCACTGTATTAGAGAAAATGCGTTGATAAGTTGATATCACTTGCTCTGCTCGAATTCGGGACAATAAATATGTTTAAATAAAACATTGTGTCGTAAATTTGGGATATGCTTACAAGACTAGATATCTGGAAGTCTGACAGACTGATTTCCTGTATGACCTGAATGGCGATTTTGCTGTTTTCCCTGTTGGCAAATGTGACGCTTTAACGGAAGTTATCAACTAAGCAATCATACATTAATTTGAACGACTATACATCACCTCCCGCCGGTCAGAGTTTCACGCGCCTTAAGTACTGAACCGCAATTGTATTACTCGTATGACCAGCGTGCTGAAAGGGACTTGATGGCCGTAGGTCTGCGACTTTTCTTCGGGAACTCCGGTGTTCCTCCACCACCAAAACCTGACATGTACTAAAATAATAATAATAATAATAATTCAAGGTTCTTATCACAACCTAGTTCGTAGGTCGTCTCAAAGCGGTTCACAAATTATTATCCGTGGTTATAGGGCCTTTGCAACCAGCTAATATCTTTCTCAACTCCCTTGGGAGCATACACCTGGTGCTGCCATTTCGGCGCTCACAGCTAGCATTCTACAAATCTAGCACTGCCCAACCACGTACTCATTTGCAGCTGAGTAGACTGGAACAAGCGGACTTGAAATACAGTGCCGTGCCGTGAGTCGAGCCCGCAACCCTTCGGTCACGAGCCCGGCGTCCTAACACTAGACTACCGTGCCTCCGTAAATGACTATAGCTGTTAATAGGACATAAACACAAGCCAACCAAACCAAACTGTAAGGGATATACTGTCACTTACAACTCGTTGCCTTTTAACGCGGCCCACTGTAGGGTGGTGAAGCCCCCTTGGTTAGTGACTTTGGCATCAAGGTTCGGGTGACTGAGTAGCAGGTTAACTCCCCTGTCGTTCCGCTTCAGTATGGCATCATGCAGAGGCGTGTCCCCATCGGCATCCTGCAGTCAATGACGATCAGTTTTAAATACAATCAAATGTAGAAAATTATAATCTCTGATTGTAAAGTTTATTATCTATTTCAATGAATTTTTCACATTTGTAGGTTCTTGCTATTTTAGTCTTCAGTGACAACACTTTCCCACCTCAGTGTTGTAACTTGCCCACCTCAGTGATGTAGCCTGCCAACCTCAGTGCTGTAGCCAGCCCACCTCAGTGTGTAGCCTGTCTACCTCAGTGTAGTAGCCTGTCCACATCAGTGTTGTAGCCTGTCTACCTCAGTGTTGTAGCCTGTCTACTTCAGTGTTGTAGCCTGTCTACCTCAGTGTTGTAGCCTGCCCACCTCAGTGTTGTAGCCAGCCAACCTCAGTGTGTAGCCTGTCTACCTCAGTATTGTAGCCTGCCCACCTCAGTGATGTAGCCTGTCTACCTCAGTGTTGTAGCCTGCCCACCTCAGTGTGTAGCCTGTCTACCTCAGTGTAGTAGCCTGTCCACATCAGTGTTGTAGCCTGTCTACCTCAGTGTTGTAGCCTGTCTACTTCAGTGTTGTAGCCTGTCTACCTCAGTGTTGTAGCCAGCCCACCTCAGTGTGTAGCCTGTCTACCTCAGTATTGTAGCCTGTCCACCTCAGTGTTGTTGCCTGTCTTCCTCAGTGTTGTAGCCTGCCCACCTCAGTGTGTAGCCTGTCTACCTCAGTGTTGAAGCTTGCCAACCTCAGTGTTGTAGCTTGACCACCTCAGTGTTGTAGCTTGACCACCTCAGTGGTGTAGCTTGCCCCCCTCAGTGTGTAGCCTGTCTATTTCAGTGTTGTAGCCTGCCCACCTCAGTGTGTAGCCTGTCTACCTCAGTGTTGTAGCCTGTCTACCTCAGTGTTATAGCCTGCCCACCTCAGTGTTATAGCCTGTCTATCTCAGTGTTGTAGCCAACCCACTTCAGTGTTGA